TCTGCTGTGCACTCATGGATGTAAGGGGGGACTCTGCTGTGCACTCATGGATGTAAGGGGGGACACTGCTTGGCAGGCATGGATGTAAGGGGAGACTCTGCTTGGCAGGCATGGATGTAAGGGGGGACTCTGCTTGGCAGGCATGGATGTAAGGGGGGACTCTGCTGTGCACTCATGGATGTAAGGGGGGACTCTGCTTGGCAGGCATGGATGTAAGGGGGGACACTGCTTGGCAGGCATGGATGTAAGGGGGGACACTGCTTGGCAGGCATGGATGTAAGGGGGGACACTGCTTGGCAGGCATGGATGTAAGGGGGGACACTGCTTGGCAGGCATGGATGTAAGGGGAGACTCTGCTTGGCAGGCATGGATGTAAGGGGGGACACTGCTTGGCAGGCATGGATGTAAGGGGGGACACTGCTTGGCAGGCATGGATGTAAGGGGGGACACTGCTTGGCAGGCATGGATGTAAGGGGGGACTCTGCTTGGCAGGCATGGATGTAAGGGGGGACTCTGCTTGGCAGGCATGGATGTAAGGGGGGACTCTGCTTGGCAGGCATGGATGTAAGGGGGGACTCTGATTGGCAAATGTGGATGTAAGGGGGGACTCTGATTGGCAAATGTGGATGTAAGGGGGGACTCTGATTGGCAGGCATGGATGTAAGGGGGGACTCTGATTGGCAAATGTGGATGTAAGGGGGGACTTTCTGGGCACTCCTAGATGGGGGCAGAATTTATGATGTGGCCCTCAAAGGTCTGGAGCCCCCTGACGTAGTGATTGAGGAAGCTCTTCCATCAGCCAATCACATACAAGCCAAGATACTGTTTATTTTCACACTTGCACATGATTGGGTACTCCTTGCAAAATGAACTTTCACCACTTTTTACCAATCGAAGGGAAAATTCCCCCAGAAACCGAACAGCTTATTTGGGGTTTATATGTGAAAGTCCGAGCGCCATGTTTGGGAACTTCCACTTAGCTTTGTGAATGAGGTGACGCTCTGCTGATGTCCATCAGCCAATCAGGGAAGAGGAAAGATATGTTTGGGGATTTTTTGGTGTCTTTGCAGGACATTTGGATATTCTCCACAAAGTGAATCATAATAGTCGCATTATTTTGAACAGAAAATCCAGGATTGCATTGAAAACATGGATAAAACATGGCAAACCTTCGATTCCACACGCCTGAGCAACGGCGACAAACCGCGACTCCCAAAATTCTCCATCCGTGGTCCTCAGAAAGCCTTTATTGTAAATGATGATCCTGGAATGACGGATCTCAGTCCGATGTCTCACAATATGTATGACCCAATCGCCTTTCCATTCACAGGTCGCACATTTACGCTTCTGTGTGTGAATGTGGGGGAGGGGGGAACATATGAAATATTTTGGGGTGTTTTTCCTATTTATTTAGCAACTCTTTTTTCACTTAATGTTGTGTCTATTATAAGGGAGCCTCTTATGTGACATCATACATGGAGTGACAGGTTCTCTTGAACCCCCCATGCCACCCCTGCACTCCACTGCCGCTAATCAAGGACAGATTGTGCTTGATTAGCTTCTTCTCAGGACACAGAAGAGAGGAAATGATTTGTCGCTCACTGGAAGGATGAACAGCAAATTAATATTCTCTAATCTCCGTCTGCCCCTCCCCCCCCCCCCACGATGGCACCTACCATGCCCCCAGGAGGGGCAGCAGAACCAGGATACATGGTGGGGGAGGGGCCAGCATGTTCCATGTACGTGGAATGGGCCCACGTATGGGCCCAAGCTCTGACCAATGTGAGCCTTACATCTGTGGCAGCAAAGGGGTTAAAGGAGAGTGCCAAGACTTTTCATTGGAAAGGACGGCCGGTGTTATCTGGTACAACCCCACCCTTGGCAGCCACACCCAGTCCTCCGACCTCTTCTGGGGTGAATGATGCCCAGTGACATCTACCCCCTTCCTGTGAGCCCAGGCTGTCATGGACACACCCCCTGGGCACGGTGCCGTCATCCTCACTTGAGCTGACAGTACAATGTTGTACAGAATGGCGCTCACCATCACCTGAGTGTAGAAACTATACCGCCAACCGCTGGCGGACCCCCCTCATTGCGAGACCGCTGGAGGACCCCCTCATTGTGAGACCACTGGAGGACCCCCTCATTACGTGACAGCTGGCAGACCCCCCTCATTGCGTGACCGCTGGAAGACCCCCTCATTGTGTACCCCTGGCTCCCTGAGCACGGCCCGAGTGAGGGCAGTGTGCCTCGTTGCCATGGCAACCCGACGCTAGGCCGGCCGTTGCAACCGGGAAGCGTCCTGCGCCGGCTTTAGAATGCCGGCGCAGGACCCAATGTGTGCCTGTTCGTCCCCCGCTCGGGACAGGGTGCTGTGCGGGGTCTGAGCTGAGGCCAGATCCCCACAGCCAGACCCCGCTGAGTGCTCTGCCTAATACCCTGGGTCAGGATACCCGCTGCCGCTGTGTGCCAGGATACCCGCTGCTGCTGTGTCCCAGGATACCCGCTGCCGCTGTGTGTGCGGAAATACTCGGTGGGAGTATCTGCTGTGTACTAAGGAGTGTCGTTGCCTGCTGACGACCGCTGAGGGCCAGAAGGGACCCCTGCCAGAACTGTGAGTGTCTGTAACGGAACCGGAACCCGACCGCACTGAGTTTTCTGTTATTCCACAGCTTCCCCTGTCCGAACACCATCCACGGACCACACCCTGAAATCCCTCAGGAAAATAGACAACACCCAGCTCTTCTTAAACAGGAAGCCAACTCTTTATTTTAACACAAAACACAGAATATATACAGAGGGCGGGGAAACACAACCAGGAACAGGAAATACATCATCAGCCCGCCCTATCAGTGGGAAGGGCTACAGGGAACCACCCCAACCAACCCAAGACACAGAACAATGGGATGCAGCCATGCGGCAAAGGACATTGACCAACCCCCACACCAGGACATTGACCAACCCCCACACCAATACACGAACAGTACATCCCATAATAGTTTGCTGGACAGGAAGGCACAGCACCATGGGGGGGAGCACATGGCAAACAAACAATGGACAGCCATGTGGCCTAGACAAAGGACAACACACTATACACAATACCGGGACATACACATGTACACCCTGTACCCTTAAACAGGCACAGGGTGGGTTAAACATAATGATTTGGGGAGATGATACAGGGGTCCCCCCCACCCCCAAAAGTCGCTCCCGTCACAGTGTCCATACCCCCGTTTCCCCTGCCTGGACTGTCCGTGGACTTCCCCCCCCTTGCTTTTCCCTGCCTGGACTGTCCATGAGCCCCTCCATTACCCTCCCTAGACGCTGAGTGTCCGTGAGCCTGCTGTTGTCCCTGGAAAGCTGTGTGAGGTCTGAGCTAAGGTCAGACCCCACTGTCATGTACCTGATGGGAGACTGAAATGACGAGGTCGACCTCACTTGTGTCACTAACCCTGACCCTACTGGAGTTGGAACAGAGGGAGTCTAGGACCCAGGGGAACAAGAGCGCCAGTAGTTGTTGTTTGCAGCTCTTGCAGATGATGACTCTGGATGACCGATCTTCTGATTCAGACACAGTAGTAACAAGCAGAGCAGGTCTTGTAGATTGCCAGGCGTGCACCAGAGCAAGGCTGGTAGTGAGGGTAAGAGACAGGAGCAATGTCATGGAATAGCCGGGGTCATCAACAGTCGGGCAGCACGGTACGGAATCAGAATGAAAGCCAAGGTCAGGAACCAGTATCAATCAGGAGAGCAATCAGAGTCAGGTGAGGAACAAGCCGGGTCAGCATCAAAGGAATCACACAGGAACAAGCAGGACACAGGGGAGCTGAAGACCAGTCAGCACTGAACATGGGCTAAGACACTCCTTAAATAGGCCGTCTGACGCCAATCTTCACACATTCCTGCGCGCATGCGCACAACCGGCAATTCTCCTGCGGGAATTCATATGGGAATTTCCGATCGCGATTCGCCTTGCCAGAAATCCCTTACACCTACAGCCAAGACCCCGCTGAGTCCCTGTGAGCCTGCTGTTGTCCCTGGAAAGCTGTGTGAGGTCTGAGCTGAGGTCAGACGCCACAGCCAAGACCCTGCTGAGTCCCCGTGAGCCTGCTGTTGTCCCTGGAAAGCTGTGTGAGGTCCGGGCACAACGGGGCACCACACACAATGAGGCATCGCACATAACGAGACACGGCACACAATGGGGCACCGCATACAACAAGGCACCGCACAGAACGGGGCACCGCACACAACGGGGCACCGCACACTAGCACATTATGTAGGACTTACCTTGATAACAAAGCCCTCCAGTGGTGTCCTGTCCCCCCTGCAGAGGCTTCCATCTTCATCCGCTCTTCCTTCCGGGTTCGCTAGTCCTGGCCCCCTGACGAGCCGAGCCGAGCCGCACTGACGTCACTCCTGCGCATGTATGGGAGTACACGGCACAGTGCTCTGAAGGAACGGCACGGGTTCGCACAGCTACACATGGGTATGGTGTGCCTTCAGAGCACATGCGTCAGCAGACAAAAAGAGCGAATATCGGGTAATCGGCGCAGGTGTTATCTGGTACAACCCCACCCTTGGCATTCATTACCTCCAGGTACACTAAGCTTTATTGTAAATTGTTGTTTATTTAAAATCTTGCAAACATGCAGATTATTCATAACAGCATATTTACATGTATACAAAAAATCCAAATGAATAAATATTTATATAAATAAACAAAACCAAACAAGCTTACAACAGCAAAAGAAAACGGCTTTTTTCTGAAAACATAAATAGAACTATATACAAAAAAAATTTTTATTATCCGAAAACTTACTAAATTATGCAAAAACACAACCCAACCGTCACCTGAACCCCCCTCAGGCTAAGAAACGATGATGAAACATTGATCCCATACAGTACATGCCGCCTTTTTCCAAAAATCCGATGTTAATCTAGGGGACATGAGAGGACAGAAAAGAGAAGCCACGCCCCCAGAGACTGACAGACAGCAGGTGCGGGGACCTGACATTCCTCCACGCCTTTGTCAAGGCTCCCGGCCGCCACCTGTCCTTCTCAAGACCCCAAATCTTCCCAACCTCACCCAGAATGTTGTGCACCACCACCTCGACAGGAGGAATCCTGACACCGTGCATTCCACTCACCCAGAATGTTGCGCACCACCACCTCGACAGGAGGAATCCTGACACCGTGCATTCCACTCACCCAGAATGTTGCGCACCACCACCTCGACAGGAGGAATCCTGACACCGTGCATTCCACTCACCCAGAATGTTGCGCACCACCACCTCGACAGGAGGAAATCCTGACACCGTGCATTCCACTCACCCAATGTTGCGCACCACCACCTCGACAGGAGGAATCCTGACACCGTGCATTCCACTCACCCAGAATGTTGCGCACCACCACCTAGACAGGAGGAATCCTGACACCGTGCATTCCACTCACCCAGAATGTTGCGCACCACCACCTCGACAGGAGGAATCCTGACACCGTGCATTCCACTCACCCAGAATGTTGCGCACCACCACCTCGACAGGAGGAATCCTGACACCGTGCATTCCACTCACCCAGAATGTTGCGCACCACCACCTAGACAGGAGGAATCCTGACACCATGCATTCCACTCACCCAGAATGTTGCGCACCACCACCTAGACAGGAGGAATCCTGACACCGTGCATTCCACTCACCCAGAATGTTGCGCACCACCACCTCGACAGGAGGAATCCTGACACCGTGCATTCCACTCACCCCAGAATGTTGCGCACCACCACCTCGACAGGAGGAATCCTGACACCGTGCATTCCACTCACCCAGAATGTTGCGCACCACCACCTCGACAGGAGGAATCCTGACACCGTGCATTCCACTCACCCAGAATGTTGCGCACCACACCACCTCGACAGGAGGAATCCTGACACCGTGCATTCCACTCACCCAGAATGTTGCGCACCACCACCTCGACAGGAGGAATCCTGACACCGTGCATTCCACTCACCCAGAATGTTGCGCACCACCACCTCGACAGGAGGAATCCTGACACCGTGTATTCCACTCACCCAGAATGTTGCGCACCACCACCTCGACAGGAGGAATCCTGACACCGTGCATTCCACTCACCCAGAATGTTGCGCACCACCACCTCGACAGGAAGGAATCCTGACACCGTGCATTCCACTCACCCAGAATTATTATTATTATTACTACGAGTTTATATAGCGCCAAAGGGTTTGCTCAGCGCTGTACAATAGGGGGGACAATACATGGCACAGTACAACAAAGACAGACAGCGTACGAGGGGTAAGAGGGCCCTACTCTTACGAGCTTACAATCTAGGAATGTTGCGCACCACCACCTAGACAGGAAGGAATCCTGACACCGTGCATTCCACTCACCCAGAATGTTGCGCACCACCACCTAGACAGGAGGAATCCTGACACCGTGCATTCCACTCACCCAGAATGTTGCGCACACACCACCTAGACAGGAGGAATCCTGACACCGTGCATTCCACTCACCCAGAATGTTGCGCACCACCACCTAGACAGGAGGAATCCTGACACCGTGCATTCCACTCACCCAGAATGTTGCGCACCACCACCTCGACAGGAGGAATCCTGACACCGTGCATTCCACTCACCCAGAATGTTGCGCACCACCACCTAGACAGGAGGAATCCTGACACCGTGCATTCCACTCACCCAGAATGTTGCGCACCACCACCTCGACAGGAGGAATCCTGACACCGTGCATTCCACTCACCCAGAATGTTGCGCACCACCACCTCGACAGGAGGAATCCTGACACCGTGCATTCCACTCACCCAGAATGTTGCGCACCACCACCTCGACAGGAGGAATCCTGACACCGTGCATTCCACTCACCCAGAATGTTGCGCACCACCACCTCGACAGGAGGAATCCTGACACCGTGCATTCCACTCACCCAGAATGTTGCGCACCCACCACCTCAACAGGAAGAATCCTGACACCGTGCATTCCACTCACCCAGAATGTTGCGCACCACCCACCTCGACAGGAGGAATCCTGACACCGTGCATTCCACTCACCCAGAATGTTGCGCACCACCACCTCGACAGGAGGAATCCTGACACCGTGCATTCCACTCACCCAGAATGTTGCGCACCACCACCTCGACAGGAGGAATCCTGACACCGTGCATTCCACTCACCCAGAATGTTGCGCACCACCACCTCGACAGGAAGGACTTTTTTGTGAATGGAAACTTGACACCGTGCATTCCACGTGTAGTAACAGACTACCAGGCTAACTAGAAAAAGTGTCTTAAAATCAAAGTCCCGGTGATTCTGAAAGGCACCGTAAGACCACTCCGCATAACTCAAGCGGGAAAGGAAAGAGATCCCCAGAGCCCCACCCACCCACTTGCAGACTTCTATATTGAAGGTGCACTGAAGCAAGAAATGGTCCATCGTCCCCTCCACCCCACCGCACTCACTCATGGACAAGCACGGTTCTCTGCAGAGCAATGCTTCAGGTTGTCCTTCACATAGAGTCTGCCATGGAACGAGAGCCAGGCCAAATCCCGAAACTTTAAAGAGATTCTCTCCAGATTCATCAAACGCAGACCCTCCCTCAAAAACCGGGCCTGGGCAATCCCTCAAGGCCAATGGCTCGCTAAAGGTGGATTCAACAACCCTCCTCTTCAGGGCCTTCCTAGGAAGAGACTTAAATTTTCTCTGCCATCACTCGCCATTGCCAAAGCATTTTCAGACATGGGGCAACAACATAAGCCGGGAGCTTACCATGTTGGACCCTCAGGCTTTTCACTGCCCACCATTCTCCCAACTCCGCAGAAAAGGCCTAAACCAGGACTGAAAAATACCAACCCACTCAGGCGGTTCCTCTACCAGTATGCTACTAAAATTATGTTTCAAAAACATCAGACAAAAAGAAAACCACCAGGTTGACCATACCTAGGCCACCCATCCGCCTGGGAAGGTAGGTTACAGACCTCTTAATGAGGTTCAGTTTGTCTCTCCATAACAGTTGGAAGAAACAACTGTAGATCCTCACATAGAGAGACACAGACAAAGCTGACATACAGAAATACCGGGATCAGGTAAGTTTTAATCAGGTCAATCCTTTCCCTGTAAGAGAGTTTCCAGTTTTTCCAGCTGGCCACCTTGGCATCGGCATCTTGTAGCCTGCTTACCCAATGTGCAAGGCCGTAATCACCGGGACCAAATCTGATGCCTAAAGCTGCTAGGGCTCTGGGAAGGCGTCCGGAAGGGTAAAGCCTTCACCTTCCTCTCCTATCCAGAAAACCTCATTCTTATCCTGATTGATCTTTGAGCCAGATGCCTCAGCATACTGTTCCATCACCGAGACCACCTCCTCCGCCTCCTGCCTCAGCATACTGTTCCATTACCAAGACCACCTCCTCCGCCTCCTGCCTCAGCGTACCGTTCCATCACCGAGACCTCCTCCTCCTCCTGCCTCAGCGTACCGTTCCATCACCGAGACCACCTCCTCCCTCAGTGTACTGTTCCATCACCGAGACCACCTCCTCCCTCAGCGTACCGTTCCATCACCGAGACCACCTCCTCCGCTTCAGAGTACCGTTCCATCATCGAGACCACCTCCTCCGCCTCCTGCCTCAGCGTACCGTTCCATCACCGAGACCACCTCCTCCCCCTAGCGTACCGTTCCATCACCGAGACCACCTCCTCTGCCTCCTGCCCCTAGCGTACCGTTCCATCATTGAGACCACCTCCTCCGCCTCAGCGTACTGTTCAATCACCGAAACCACCTCCTCCTCCTGCCTGAGCGTACTGTTCCATCACCAAGACCACCTCCTCCGCCTCCTGCCTCAGCGTACCGTTCCATCACTGAGACCACCTCCTCCGCCTCAGTGTACTGTTCCATCACCGAGACCTTCTCCTCCGCCTCCTGCCTCAGCATATTGTTCCATCACCGAGACCACCTCCTCCTCCTCCTGCATCCCAGAGATGAAAACAGACACGTCATCAGCATAGGCCACGACCCCCAGAGGGGGCTCCCCAGGAATGCCCAAAGGAACTCCACACAACAGTACTGTCAGGGCCTGGACTTGAACCTGGGACTTCTACTGTGTCAGGCAGTAACTCTTCTCACTGAGCTACCTAGGATGCTGGACAACACTCTGCCTCATCTATTGGATAATCCTGCCTTGTGCCTTGTTTGCTCTTGAACCTTGAACTCCTTGCTCCTCCCGTGAACTTCCTATATAAGCCATGTCCTTGGACTTCCTCCTTGCCAGATTATTGTGCCTTTCCAGCCAATATCCCGCTACTGTTCCTGCTGCTGTCTACACCTCCGCTACTGATCTTTGGCTTGTTCCTGACCACGATTTCGTCTCATCCTAACGTACTACGATTGATCTGCTACCATTTGTGACCGACCCTTGGCTTGTGACTGACTCTGCTTTCGTCTGATCCCTAACCTGTTGATCCGCTATTGGTTCCCAGTCTGCTCATTCCCTGCTGGGGTGATCCTGAGATCTGCGACCTGGTATTAACACGCAGCCCAATCCATCTCCACCATTAGGAGCTCTGGTGAATACCGGTTAATACTTAGACCCCGCACCTCAGGTGAGCCTGCGTCATTCCCAGGGGGATCCGCTGGTGTACCTATCCTGCTGGTTTCAGGTAAGCCTTTTACTGCTATAGCAACTGGTCTCTGAACCTGACCCAGACCGTGACAGAATAATCTGGCCCAAACATGGAGGCCGCTATAGCAAATGCCATGGCTCCTGTCAGGCAGCAAATTTCAGAGCTACAAGAGTTTGGTGTTACCTACCAAAAGAAATTTGCTGAACTGCAAAGTGTAGTAGAGGGGCAACAGGAAGAGATCCATGCTCTGCAGACACGATTGCTGGACATGTGCTCCCGCGACGTTGCTAATACACGCATGCCTCTGCCACTCAAGTTCAATGGAGACCGCCGCCACTACAGGGGTTTCCTTAACCAATGCCGCATTTATTTCCAGATGCAACCTGCTGCATTTAATACTGAGAGGCAGAAGGTATTGTTTGTTATAAACCTCCTGACTGAGGAAGCCCTAGCTTGGGCCTCTCCCTATATAGAGCAAGACAATGCAATGTTAAACAGTTTTGCGACTTTTGTGACTGCAATGAACCAGGTCTTTGATGATCCCTACCGCTGAAGCAAAGCTGCATAGTTTGAGGCAGGGTAGACCTGTTGCGGAGTATACAACTGAATTTCGACGCTGGATCTCAGACACCACCTGGAACCCAGCAGCGCAAAAGAGTCAGTTCCGGCAGGGGCTCTCTGAACAGGTGAAGGATGAGCTCACCAGAGTAGAGACTCCTAACGATCTTGAGGAGTTCATCCAATTATGCATTTGGATTGACCAGAGACTGACAGAAGAAAGGAGAGATTGGGAAGTAATGGTGGCATGCGTTTTTCTGCTAATCAGTTCAGTCAGAAGGATTTAAACATCTCTTCAGATTCTAACACACCTGAACCTATGCAAGTAGATACTATTAAAAGATCAATTTCTACTCAAGAGAAGGAGAGAAGACGTTTGGAGAATTTGTTTATATTGTGGGGACTCTGGGCATTACGTAGTCAATTGTCCTAATAAAGCCAAAAGAACAATTGCTGCGACTGATGTTATCCTGCCTGAACGCATAAATTCAATTACCCAGTCTATCTCCCCATTGATCGATGAAGAAAATAAAGTTGGTCCTAAACAGTCTCATTTTGTTGTCCCTATCAAACTTTTCACCGAGGGCCATGAAATTCCTTGTTCTGCTATGCTGGACTCTGGGGCTGGGGGAAACTTTATGGACATAGAGTTTGCCCACAATAATAATATTCTCAGGAGAAACAAATCTGTCCCTATTGATATGGAGACAGTTGATGGTTCACCTTTATCATCAGGACCAGTTACTCATGAAACGGTTCCTCTAGTACTCCAATTTCAGGCTGACCATTTTGAGACCATCAGCTTTCAGCTGATTACATCACCTAAATTTCCTGTCATCCTGGGCATCCCTTGGTTTTCTACCCATAATCCCTCCATCAACTGGGGAGCACGGACCATAAATTTTACATCCCCCCAGTGTGAGGAACATTGTAGGAAACCATGTGCTACAAGTTGTCTACAAATCAGGAAATCACAGGCTGATATGGTAACTACACAGTCATATGACAATCTGCCTCCACAATACCATGAGTTTCGAGATGTCTGTGATAAGAAAAATGCAGAGATCAACTACCTCATCATCGTCCATACGATTGTCCCATTGAACTGCTTCCAGGCGCAGAAATACCATTCAGCCGCGTTTTCAATTTATCAGAACCTGAGTTAAAGGTGCTAAGGGAGTGGCTTGATGATGAGAATTTGGAGAAGGGCTTTATCAGACCCTCAACATCTCCTACAGGAGCAGCCCTGTTCTTTGTTGAGAAAAAGGACTCCACCTTGCGTCCATGCATTGATTTTAGGGGCTTGAATAAAATCACTGTTAAAAACCGTTACCCACTCCCTTTAATCGCAGAGATGTTGGAAAGACTCCGCTCTGCCAAAGTCTTCACAAAACTTGACTTACGGGGGGCATATAACCTGGTACGCATGCGTCAAGGAGACGAATGGAAGACTGCCTTTAGAACCAGATATGGACACTTCGAATCCCTAGTTATGCCTTTTGGCCTATGTAATGCTCCCGCAACTTTTCAGCACTTCATAAATGATGTGTTTCGAGATTTGTTGGACCAGTTTGTTATTGCTTATCTGGACGATATCCTCATCTTTTCGGACAACCTGGTGGAGCATCGCAAGCATGTCTGCACTGTATTCAAAAGGTTAAGGATGAACCGACTTTACATCAAACTGGAGAAGTGTGAGTTTGAACGAGCCCAGATCCAGTTCTTGGGATATATCGTTTCTTCAGTAGGAGTGAGCATGGATCCCGAAAAGATCAAGGCAGTGGTGGATTGGACTGCCCCTGGAAACGTTAAGGAAATACAACGATTTATTGGATTTGCCAACTTTTATAGGAAATTCATAAGAAACTTCTCTAAAGTAATAGCACCAATTACACAGCTGACAAAGAAAGGAGTGCCCTTTGCATGGTCAACTGAGGCACAAACTGCTTTTAGTAAGCTAAAGACTCTCTTCACATCTGCACCTATATTGGTACATCCTGAGCTACCTTTTATTGTGGAAGTGGATGCCTCAGACTCCGCCGTGGGAGCTATCATTTCTCAGCGACGAGAGAGAAAAAATGCAGCTTCATCCCTGTGCATATTTTTCTCATTTGATGTCATCTGCTGAAAGGAATTATGACATTGGGAATAAGGAGTTTCTGGCAATTAAGGAAGCCTTTTCCGAATGGAGGCATCTGTTGGAAGGGGCTAAGCATCCTGTGACTGTCTTCACGGATCATAAAAATCTAGAATTCATCCAT